ATGATTGCGCCTTCCCTCTTCGAATTCGATATGCTTGCCCCTTCCCCGCTTCGACAATGGCTCCTTCCCCCCCTACCCCCTTCCCTTTCCCCGCACTCAGTCAACAAACACGAGAACCATTGCACCTTTCCACTCTTTTCACTTTCCCCCACATCCCTCGACGATTGCACCTTCACCTTCACCCTCACTCCCCCAGACCAGAGACCAGAGACCAAAGACCAATGACTACAAGACGACAACTACACCCACTCTTCACACACTCTCTTCAGCCGACAATTGCCGACATGTTCTTCTTTAGCTTGACGATGTTGGCGATCTCGCGCGCGTCACCCGTACTTCACGCCTCTTCTACTACATGACCCTCCCGCGCCTCTACGAAAATGTCACGCTTCACTCTCACGCGGAAATCCGATACATCGATGGAAGGCCAGAAGGCTATGGTGGTGGCAGTCCCTTCGCCATGGGCCTGAACACGCTGGTATCGCGCACCTTTACTGACTATGTGCAAAAATTTCGGGTCATAGGCGACTGGCGAGAGCACGACATGGGCGACTACAAGCAGGGCCGCGTTCCCGACAACAGCATGGTACTGCAGATAACCATGCGCGCCGTGCTAGACAAGATGAAGAACATCACCACTTTCTCGTACGTCTGGCTGGCTGGCACTTCTTCCCCCAGTATAATGGCTGACACGTACACTTAGCTGGGAGCTCAATACCCCGCCCCTGTATACCGTCTACCAGGGTCTCGTCGGTAGAACCACGCTCACATCTTTGGTTTTGCGATGTCAAAACTGCCGCACACCTCGGCCCACGACCGTCATACCGCCCATACCAAATCTCAAGTCAATGGTCATGTACGACATCGACCCATTGTGCTACCCTGATGACATATCCATGATACTCCTGGGCTCCAAGAAACTCGAGCAGCTGAAGCTACACTGGAGTCCGCGTATGCGGGAAAGTGGCGAGGAGTCGGTCAATCTGCTGGCCATCTTTGGCCGCTGTCTCGCTGCGCGGTATGCTGTGCCCATCAAGCGCCTGGCAATATACAATCTCTATACACGTTTCCACGGTGAAGGCGTGTACAAGGTCATAGACTATACAGTCCAGACAGAGGCCACCATCATCAATTCCATGGACTCCTCGGATCCCATGACCGTCTTCACCGACCAGCCCTGGCAAGTAGCTCACAAACCCTCCGTACCTGTGAACTTGAAGATATTACGGACAGACAACACGGACAAAGAAGGCGCAACCATTCTGGGCCGGTTTCAAGGCCTCGACCGACTCTACCTTGTTGCCAAGAAGCGAGGCAGAGGCATTTCATCGAAACCCAATACCGCTGCAGGCACACCAACAACGCCGTCAACGGCCACACCGGGTGTTGCTAGCGCAAACGGAACACCTACCGTCAGCGAGCACCAATCTCGGAATACAGCGAGTGAGTATCTGGCGGCCATCCAAAAAAATCATAGCTCCATCCGTCATCTTCTTCTGTCAGATCGCTGGCAGCTGTCCTTCGATACCTTTTACAAGCTCTGTCAATCCTGTCCAAATCTGGAACAGCTTGGATTCTGTTTTCTGGCACCTCCTCTGGAGTCGATGCGACAAGCCATAGCCATGGTACCCAAACTCTGGGCCCTCCGTCTTCTCCTCCCCCAGGATGCGGATGCCGCCGACAAGATCGATAACTTGGATTCCGACATGCACATGTTCGCCATCGCTACTGAGTTTTGGCGGCCAGAATACAAGAATCTAAAGTACCTCGGCATAGGGGACAATCATATATACAAGCTAGGAGGTGTTTATTTCCCGCCCAAGGCCAAGGATGACACGCCCGACTGCCTAGAGAACGGTATGCTAGCAAGAAGGTCAGGCCCCGGTCGTAAAGTGGAGCTTGTAAGCCGAGAGAGTGTCAATCACATTGAGATTTGGGGCTTGGATACGATGGAATTCGATCCCTCACCGTCTTGAAAGCTAGACAAGGAACACAAATGGACGGATCTTTTTGGCCAGGAGACGACGACCTATCTAGAGCCACTACCGCGTATGCGTCCGCTGTCTTGTCAAAATCGATGCTCTTTACTGTGCTCGAACAAGCCGGCGAGGTTACAACAAGTGAAGAGAGGGAATTTAAGGAGGGGCGTACTGGGGAACGCGGTGGCTCGTGTACCCACTTGCTTGACTATGAGCGCGTTATGGATTGGAGCAGAACAGCTCATAGCGCAAAGGAAGGCGCTGACGTAATCGGGGAAGAATGGTGACTTGCCGGGTGCATAATAGCACTCATTTCAACAGCCGATGAAATTCGATGCGAACATGGCACCGAGCACGAATACCAGAGTATTGGTTTTACGCAATAGCCACGACCAAACTTCTGGACTAGCGAAGAAGGATTCTGGAGGTAAAACCAACGACTTCATATGCCTCTGCTGACGCTTGAATGCGAGGGCACTTGCATGCGCGAGGAAATGGCCACACGTAGGTTGATGGAGTTTGCAGGGCATGCGCAGGTATACGGACTCGCATTTGCAGACACTGCCATCACGCAATGGAAGCATGCCATCTTAAGGCACTCTCAGCCTAGGAGGCGGGTGACAACTCGACAGCTTTCCGTACGTGACATTCAACATCAGCCTGCTGTGACTGGTCTAAATCAAAAGAATACTATTGCACGAGGACGATGATTCTACCAGTGCTTTTGAAAGGTGATGTCTCGATGGCTTTTGGTGGTTTTGATTCTCGCAGTGGTGAGCGATATCGGAGATGATTGATACACATGGTACTGGGAGGAGCCCGTGTACAAGTGAGTAGACTAGACTACCATCCAAGTGATTCGTGTCTAGCCGCATCACATCAGAAGATGCATGTAATCCCAAACCATCAGTTCACACTTCATGCTCATTTTACATTTCATGCGAGATATTTACTTCACAATTCCTCACAGCCATCTCCCCAACACCCACCGCATACACCCCTGGTTACCTCGGTGTACTCGACTTTGTGTTCGGCCCTGTTCTTCATCGTTGCTTTGGTTCAACCAAAGTACGGTCGCATCGTCTCCAAAGACGGACGCTTTTCGCCATCCTCGGCTGCCCTGTTGACGCAATTCATAGCGAAGACAATCGAGTTGTCTTTTGTCATGGTCTTTTTGGTCTTTATTGGACAGGTTCTGTCTAGGCGAGCGAGTCAGCAAAAGGGCATCAACTTGGCGAGTATTGCAATGCGCTCGTGGATTCTGTAAGTTGAGCCCCGTTCATGACAGGTGGGAATGTTGCATCAGACTAAGTGATGGTAGTCAGCCAGGGACATTGGTCACACAGTGGCAGAGTGTTCGATTTGGTGGGGGGAGCATGCTGGGCGTGCTCTCTCTTGTGA